CAAGACTGCAGAGAATGCCACCAGTGGGGAAACCCTAGAAGAGAATGGAGCTGGGGACTGAGGTGGGTCCCATATCCCCAGCTTGCCGCTCCTGCCTCGTCCCCTCCCACTACACCCAGGCTCTGCGAAGGGCAGTTTGACTTCTCCACCCAGGACCACCAGCAGGGCAGGATCTCCCTGCCCCCACCCCAGTCCCCCAACCCACTCCCCTCCGCCAACAACAACCTGCTCCAACTGACTCTGGTCTTGGGAGGCCAGGCTTCCCAGCCACCGAAGACTACTTTAAATAGAGAAAAAGAAATTGAATAATAAAATCAGGAGTCAAAATCCATCGTCTTCAAGCCCCTCTTTCTAGCCTTTTCTACTGTTTTGCTTGGTCAAAGTCGGTGGCCCTACAACAGAAATTAAAACCACCACTAAAAACTCAGCTGAAATTTTTTTATACTACTCTGATATCAGCATTTTCTGATTGATTGTTTGGGGCTTTTTTTCTTCTCTTGTTTCACACTTCCCAAGTATTTTATCTACCCTCAATATTAAGAGGAGCTGTTCTTCAAAAAGTTTTTATTTCATGTGGCTGTAGTCAGGCCCTCCCCATTTTTAGGAGCTGAAGTCTCCATTTATGAAGAGGTTGTCATCTGTCAACTGGATCTTCACTTGTGAATCTTTTTAGTCGTTTTCTTCTGCAGGGTCTTTCCTCTCCCATTTTCACAAAGCTGTAAGAAATAATCCATCTCAGCTGTGCCCTATTCTCTGGAGTCAGTGGGGCCGTCTCTCACTCCACCTTAACACAGATCTAAGCGGAAGTTCAAGTGATTGTATTCCCTCTTTGAGATATTTTGACTTCCCTTCCTTGAAAGAAAAACCAGGAACCTGAGGAAGACTGACTTGAAGAGACAACTAGCTTTCTGAAACTGTGGACTCGAATTGGATGAATTGCTGGGGGTTTGTAGGGAAAGGTGACACATTTCAGTACCTCTGGCATGCTGTCCCAGGGAACTAGGGCTCCCACTGATTTACAAGGTTTTTAAACATTGAAAATGACATGGCGTTAAAATAAATTTCGATTTGCTCATAATATGCCTTTGTATGTTGGGCTTATTTGTTGGGCGTGGGGAGATCCAATTGAAGTGATCAGTTACAAATGTTCAGGTTTTTTTTCTGAGACAGGGTCTTGCTATGTAGTTCAGGCTGGCCTCAAACTTGCAGCAAACCTACCTCAGCCTCACGGCTGCTGGGATTACAGGCATGCAGCACCTACTGTACCTTAAAAGGATTAACTTGGGTTGGGAGTAACACATGCTATACTCTGACAACAGCAGTAAATTATCTTGGATCTTTAGTCATTTTGATTTTCTAAAGTAGAAATAACTAACATTCGTTGCTAACATTTATTCAAGACTAGGACACGCAGTGTTGTAGACTAAAACAATACTGCAAGTGTTTCAGGACCAGGCCAATAGTGTGGGTGATCAGTTATTAGAGGTTGGTCTTGTTTTGGTAGTGCTGGAGAGAGCCAAAGAAGCACTGACCAACATTCCTACAGCACCCCCACCCCTTTTAGGGCCTTGCTAAATTGTCCAGGCTGGCTTTTGGCTTGGAATCCCCTCTACCTAAACCTCCAAGTAGCTGGGATTACAAAGGTGCACACCACACCCAGGTATATTTCATACTCTATATGTGAGGTACTGCTGATCTGTAAGTACCATAATGAACAAAGCTAAGATGGTACCTGTACAACAATATGTATTCATTATAAAGTACAGAATAATTGCATTGCCATAAAAATGCTCTTGCCTACTCACCCCTCCATTATTCATTTGTGCAAACCTATATAATGTACACCAAGAATGAGTTAATTTATACTGGTCTTTGATAAAATATTAGCGTGGGTTCCCTAGGTATAATAAATACTCGTGGACGATAATATGGGTAGCTGTAAATGGATGGGAGTGGGTAATTTCTATTTTGTTTTTAATTTTTTCTGTGCCCCTAAAACAGCAGCTTCCGAAAAGTAGTTTTAGCCAGGTGTGATGGCACATGCCTGTAATCCCACCACGTGGGAGGCTGAGGCAGGATCACTGTCAGTTAAAGCCCAGCCTGAACATTGAAACTTTGTCCTAAAAAAAAAAATTTAGCAAGAACATCTCAAAATAAATAAAGGGCTGGAGATTACATCTGAGTATAGTAGCCATAGGTAGCACAGACCTGTAATCCCCACACTTTAGGCTGAGGGAGCAGGATCACCACAAGTTCGAGGTCAGCCTGGGATAGAAACAGTTCAAAGCCAGCCTGGACTACAGAGACCCTATCCAAAAAAAAAAAAGTTCTATGCTCACAGGTTTTTTAGCCTTAAGTTTGCTGTAGCTGAAGCTCTGGAGATCTGCTTTCAAGGTCTTACCTGACAATACCAAGAGACTTGAAAGTTCTTTATCTTAACACCAAATATCATACTTCCTCTAGAGAAGACTTTACCAATCTTGCTTCCTTCCCTTCTGTCCTTGGGTTTTTCACCTTTAGTTATAGAGAATCACCGCAGTATTTTCTGTAAAAATGATACCTTGTGAGCAAGAAACGCTGGTGACATTCTGTCTCAGTCACTGTGGAGAAAGACCACAGTTGGCTATTTTATTCCCGGAGTTTTAGGGAGGGAAAAAAAGCTGTTCTAAAGTCTCTGCAGTGTTACATCTTTCTCAACTTTCTGCTTTTCATCCTTCCATGAGATTCTGTAGGACCTTCGAAACTTCCAAGATCACATCTCCTGCAACAGTTTAGCTTAAAACAAATAAAGCAAAGCAGTAAAGCAAACTAGGAATTTTTGTACAGTCCGCAACTATTCGTAACAAAATCGGCACCTATTCATAATAAAATGGAAGACTTCGCTAAGAAACTTCAACTCCCAGGAAGCTATGAGGGAAGGCGGAACCACTGACCTTTTCCTCTTTCAGTCCCATACTGGAAATAGATATACACACATATAAACGATGCCCTCAATAATAAAAATGGGTAGGATTAGTAAACCGAATTCAAAATATTATTATTTTCATGGAAAAAATTATTATTTTCCAAGACAAATCCTCTATCAATCCCTTAAATGGTAGCCGAAAGCGGCCGAAAGCCACTATTACTCCAATTGGCAGCCACGCCCCTCGGGGGGAGGGACGGGATGGCGGAAATGACGACAGTGAGCGAGCTATTAAAACCCGTAGGCGGAAGTTTGGCGCTCTCTCGGCTTTAGCGCCATCTTCTTAGGTGAGTTTTTTCTGTTGGTTGTGTTCGGTTTCTGCGTAAAATCCATTAACATCTGACTCTATATTACCCATCATTGTAGGAAGGTAACTGTAACCTTTTTGTCTTTCCTGGCAGAAACCTCCGCGCCATGAGAGCCAAGGTGAGCGGTCTCGTAACAATGAACTTAGGAGTTAGGCGTTGGCAAGGAGGAGATCCGGGCAAGAAAAGCCCGCCATGGTTCCCAATCACTGGGTGCTCAAGGGTGCCCAAGAGATAATGGGGAGAGGAAGCATACTTTGGGTGAAAATCAGAAGTAGCGGTTAAACCCTGGAGGGGAGAAAGGGCGCGGGTAAAACACCCCGGCGGAATTGGCGTTTTGTTTCGGGAGGTGTTTATTAACCTTCGTACTTGATTTAAGAACCTATCCGGGGGCCAGGGATTCAGCTCAGTGGTTCCGGCGCCTGCCTCGAAAGCATAAGGTCCCGAGTTCGATCCCCGGTACAAAAAAAAAATTACATTGGGTGCAGGACATAAATGTGTCAAACTTCACTTGAAATTAACCTTCAAGAACCTATCCGGTGCTTGGTTCTAAATAGTGCACCTTATGGCTATAAACCTGTTAATGAAAATCATCTTTTCTATTCTCTGCTGCTGTGGTCGGGTCGCTAGTGGAGGAAGAAGCGAATGCGCAGGTATGTTTAGATTGCCAGTCCCGGAGGGGAGGGCACGAGGGGAGGTGCCTGAGGACAGAACGTTTAGTTTGGGAGTCTAGAAACTTCAGAAAATTGTTTTTTAAAAAAAGTATTGCTTTGGTAGAACCAGGGATTGAATACAGGACAGAATTGTAGTGCTTTTTATTTTTTATTTTTATTTTTTTTTGCTTTTTAAATTTTTAACTGCATGTAGTTAGTGCATGTTTAAGTTAAGAATAAAACACAACCCTGGGTAGTTATATTATGTCTCCTTTTCAGGCTGAAGCGCAAAAGAAGAAAGATGAGGCAGAGGTCCAAGTAAAATAGCTTCTACATCCATGGAGGCCTAAGGAACAGAAATAAGGAATGCTAGAGGCTGAGGACGCTGGTACAAGTAGACTGCATGCTACTATCTAGAATGTGTCTCAATGGATTTGAACTTCGTTACCATCTGATCGCCAAGACCACTTCAGAGAAACCCACCTTGTTCATAACTAAAGCAGTCCCGGTTGGTCTTTTGCCCTGGACCTGTGGCATTCTGGACTACTGTTCTCAGTTATGGCCGAGTGTAACACGTGTACAATAAATCATCTCTTCTGCTTTTAGCTGAAGAATCAAATTGTCTTTGTTGTGTTTTTCACAATTCCATTGAATGGGGATTCTGTGTCGGTAGTTTGTGTCCTATCACTACCTGTGCTATGGAAAAATCAACCTACATGGGCAACAGTCGGGGGGTGTATGATGTAAACTACCTCTGGTTCGCACTGAGAAAAGTAGTATACACCTTAGGAGTGAGTGTTTTTAGACTCATGGGCAAGTTTAAAGCAGATGGTAGTACCGCCCCTACATATCGTGAAGTGTGCATGGCACAGTTCCCTTCGGGTTGGCCGTTCTCTGTTGTTAGTTGTGGTTGCTATGGTGACACGCAGAGGTTACTGGGAACTTCCTGCTGTCGCACAGCTCGCCCACCATAGAGTATGGTTCCGGGTCTGATAGCTAGAGTGTCTACTTCCGCAGGAAGCGGAAGAGCTACAGGGTGGGCGGCTCTTTGTCGAAGCTAGAGGACCGGCAGGCGGCAGCAGCTACTACGGCGGCGACGGCAGGTGAGGGAGGCGGGAGACTTAGGTGGAGGCCGCGCCCGGAGGGGAGGAGTCGGGGCCGGCCCAGCGGCTGGGCTCTGCCGGGCCACGCAAGGCCCCCCCAGAACCGAGCTTGGCTCGTCCTCACATCCCAGGACAGACCCCCTTTTCTGATTGACCCCCGCTTTGCGAGCAAACGCCAGTTCCGTGACGTCACAGCCCTGCCCATTCCCCTGAGCTTGATGTCATCTAGAGCTCCCTCTCCTTCCCTTTTTGCTTCCTTAGTGTCCTATTCACCTGGTCCACAGCTGTGTGCCTGCGGCACTGCACCGAAGAAGACTTGTTGCGGGGCAGTTGCTCGGACTTTTCGAAAACTCTAGCTTGTTGGAAAGAGTCACAATCACCGTCCCCAAGTACTAACTGCCATCCTACTGCACTGTCAGTTGCTGCTCTTGTAATGCTCCCCATTTGTCGTTCCTGGCTCTTTAGGCCTGACTCTTAGCCCCACATCCTCTTTCATCTTGAGGCAGGTCTTCCCTCACCCTCTGTTCTTTGAGGACTAGTTTTCCAACCCATTCTCCCAGCCTTTACAAATCAGTTTTATCTATCCCTTACTCTTTCCTGGCAACTTCTATTTTGACACGTGAAGTTCAATTTGAACTCTTAAATTCTCAAATATTTTGCTGTTTTGTCAGATTTCATTCTTATTTATGACAACAACCCCATAGTCCTCCACTCTTACTCCTTATCCCACCCAGGTGTCTCTCTTCCCCCCCACCCCCCACCCCGTTCAGAACTCAGCAGTGATGTGGAGGTGGAGACCCACAGGAGCCCGGGACTTCACCTGAGCTACCTCAGGTATCAACTCTGGGAGAATTGGTTGGGGAGGAGTATCATACCCAATTATCTGCTTCTGGTGGGACTTGCAACTTGGGACAGGCTTGGATAGATGGCATTTATTATTCAGTTCATTTTTTAAAGTTTGTATTTTCTGATAGCACTTCTTTTTATTGTTTCTATTATTCTGGGTTGCCTCCTTTTGGAGAAAGGACCCCTTTATACAGATCTTGCGTAACGTTGGCCTCTGATCTGGTGGGTCATTTTCAGGAGATGTAAACTCAAATTCAAGCCAGGCATGGTTGCCCACCCCTGTAATCCCAGCAGTTGCGAGGCTGAGGCAGAAGGATCAAGAATTTAAGGTTAGCGTGGACTATATAGCAAGTTCAAATCCAGTCGGAGTATATAGTCATGCCCTGTATTAAAAACAAAAACGTAAAGTCAAGGCAGTGGGGTAGGGTAGGGTAGCTGAAGGCCAAATAAACAGATTAGATTTCCTTATGCTTAAGGAGAAACAATATGGAGTTTTCCTGTTTGAACAGCAGGGGGAGCCTGAACACTGCTTAAGAAAGGTTTAGGAAGTCAAGACACGTGGTACCTGGGACTCTCAGTCTTATTGGGGGTGGATAGAGGGGAGGGCTAGAACTAGGGCAGTGGACTGACATCCCAGAGCTCTCTTGGGAAGTAGGAGACTTAAAAAGCTTTTATAGAGTCTATAAATAAAGAGGATCTTTATGGGGTAAGGAATGACGTGGTTTGATGTCAGTGGGATCTTCCCATGGAAGGGTAAGAAGGGGGTTGGGAATGGGGAAAGAGGTCACTTACTCTTGTGATATTAACTCATTCCCACCTTGACCTTGCCACAAATGGTTTTGTCCTGGGGGTCTAGGAGAGATTTCAGCTAGGAACTCTCCCTGGTATGGAGGGGCCTGATTTCCCAGCGGTTAAAAATGGTAGTGGGCCTGTAATCCCAGCAACCTTGAGGCTGAGGCGGGAGAATCGCTGTTGAGTTCAAGGCCAGCCTGAACTATATAGCAAGACCCTGTCTCAAAAAAAAAAAAAAAGTGATAGTGGAGGAAAATAGTAAAAATGACAGGTTTAGAGACTGCCCTCAAGCTGGTTATACCATCTCTTCACCCACAATTTCTTGGGTTCTAGAAATCTGATATACATAGAGCCTTACCTAAGATTCCACAGAAGAGAGTTTAAGGGAAGTTTTGTTACCAGTATCCCATCATTCACAAGCCCTAGCAGCTAAGCAGCACATCTTGGGCATTTTTCCCAGTCTCCTCCCAGCCTATTCAGACACCCACAGTAGTTTGTTTTTTTTGTACCAGGGATCGAATTTGGATCCCTGTGCCTTTGAGGCAGGCAGCAGAACCACTGTGCCAAATCCCCGGCCCCACCCACAGTAGTTTTAATTTTACTTCCACTACTTTATTTTTTGTTGTTGTTTTGTGGTTTTTTTGGTACCAGGGATTGAACCGAACTCAGGTCCTTCTGCTTTCGAGGCAGGTGGTGGAACCACTGAGCTAAATCCCCAGCCCACTTCCACTGCTTTAATAAGGTCAGCTCAGAAAGGAAGATAAAATTCAACACTTCTATCCCTGTCCCCTCCGCCTATCATCATTCATGAGATGAAGTGGCTCCTTCCCAACTTCCTCCCTCCTCCACTAGCCACCCAAGTGTGAATCATTCTAACCAAGACCAGGTGCATGAAGGCCTGGGCAGGACTTCATTCGGTCAAGTCAGCCAGTTCAGCCAGTCCAGCCAGCGTCCTCCTCCCTTAGGTTCTCCATTTCCAAAGCCATTGCCTCACTGGACTGCCTGCTCTCTAGTCAGGAATCGTGGGATCTCTCTGGCGGACTCCTGGTTGACATAGTTCTTTTTTTTAGCAGTCACCAAGAGTGGCAAGAAAAGGAAGAAGGCCCTGAGTCGGAGGGGACCAGGATGCCTGACCGGGACGGCTATGCTAATGGTACTGGGAGCAGTGGCGGAGGACCTGGAGGTGGTGGCAGTGAGGAGGCCAGTGGCGCAGGGGCAGGCAGTAGTACAGCCAGCTCAGATGCCATCTGTAGAGACTTCCTAAGGAATGTGTGCAAGCGAGGCAAGCGCTGTCGATATCGCCACCCCGACATGAGTGAAGTGTCCAATTTAGGGGTGAGCAAAAATGAATTCATCTTCTGCCATGATTTTCAGAACAAGGAGTGTAGCCGCCCAAACTGCCGTTTCATCCATGGCTCCAAGGAGGATGAAGATGGCTATAAGAAGACGGGAGAGCTTCCTCCTCGGTTGAGGCAGAAAGTGGCAGCTGGCCTGGGCCTTTCACCAGCTGACCTACCAAATGGCAAGGAAGAGGTCCCTATCTGCCGAGACTTCCTCAAGGGTGACTGTCAGAGAGGAGCCAAGTGCAAGTTTCGTCACTTGCAGCGGGATTTTGAGTTTGATGCTCGGGGTGGAGGAGGCACTGGTGGTGGGGGCTCAACAGGCTCCATCCCTCCAGGACGTCGTCATGATCTCTATGATATCTATGACCTTCCTGACAGGGGCTTTGAAGACCACGAGCCAGGCCCCAAGCGTCGGCGAGGTGGATGCTGCCCTCCTGATGGCCCTCATTTTGAATCCTATGAGTATAGCTTGGCTCCGCCCCGAGGGGTAGAGTGCAGACTGCTAGAGGAGGAAAATGCAATGCTCAGGAAGCGCGTGGAGGAGCTAAAGAAGCAGGTCAGCAACTTGTTAGCCACCAATGAGGTACTTCTGGAACAGAATGCCCAATTCCGCAATCAGGCCAAGGTCATGACCCTTAGCTCCACTGCACCAGCAACTGAGCAAACTCTGGCACCCACTGTGGGTACTGTTGCCACTTTTAACCATGGCATTGCCCAGACTCACACTACTCTCAGCAGCCAGGCTCTACAGCCCCGTCCTGTGTCCCAGCAAGAACTGGTGGCCCCTACAGGAGCTCCAGCTGCTCCCCCAACTAATGCTGCACCTCCTGCTGCTCCACCACCCCCACCTCCACACTTGAACCCAGAGATCACGCCATTGTCAGCTGCTCTGGCACAAACAATCGCCCAGGGAATGGCACCTCCACCTGTCTCCATGGCTCCTGTGGCTGTATCTGTGGCTCCTGTGGCTCCTGTGGCTGTATCGATGGCCCAACCCTTGGCAGGAATCACAATGAGCCACACCACCACTCCTATGGTGACTTACCCCATTGCTTCCCAGAGCATGCGCATCACAGCCATGCCACACTGATGGGGCTAATGGACACTCCCCTGGTATAGCCTCTCAGGGCTGGGATTGAGGGGCCCCTACCCACTTTCTTAGCCCTCCTAGGCCCAGTCCAGAGGGTTCACTCAAGAACTAGGATGAGAGACTATAAGGAATATGCTTCCAGAGATGGGGTTGGGCTGGTATGTTCTCTCACCTCCCTTTTAAGAAGTCCTCATGTCCTTCCTTCTGGCCTAACTGAGGTGGGAGCTTGCATAGGAGTGCAGACTGAAGCCATCAGAGAGGAAGGACTGACTGAGGGACTGTGTCTTATGGGAAGTTGGGGACATCCCTGGTCTTGTCCTCTCTTGTGAACAGCACAAATTCTAGCACTAGTTTTGGAAGAAAAAATTTCCCACCCGGAAGGAGAGCCAGGAAAGACTGAGAAGTAGGTGGCCAGGAGAGAAGGCCTCAGAAGAGTCTTCAGACCATTTGGGGCCCAGTTGGCTTGGATAATACAGGAACTGCTCTGGGGCCTCTGGGAAGGCCGGGACCATAGTACTCCAGCCCAAAGACTAGAGGAGCATTCATTTACCTAGCTTGGCCTGGAAATCTGTAGGGCAGGGCCCACTACTTTCCAAAGAAATAAAAGAATTATTTTTAACAAATGGAGACAGTGGACACTTGTATGGAAGGTGGGAGCATAAAGTAGATCTCATGCCAAAATGGAGTAAAACCTCATACACAAGCTTGGGTAAGTTTGATGGAGGGTAGCAAAGAAGGGTAGGACCCAGAAGAAGACCAGTTGGAAAGCTGGGCATGGTGGTGCACTCCTGAAATCCCAGCGCTTGGGAGGCTGAGGCAGGAGGATTGCTGAGAGTTTGAAGCCAGCCCAGGCTACACAGTGAGTTCAAGGCCAGTGAGACCCCGTCTCAAAAAAAAAAAGACCAGACGGGGATTTAAGGAAGGTACTTTGTGGGATAAAAGCATTGCAGCCGCCTAGTCTAGTTTAAAAATAGTCCCATCTGTTTCTGGCCTGTCTGTATCTGCTATTCCCAGGTTGCCTGAGTAACCAGGGCTCCTAGGTTCATTTAGGGGGGCAGGCACTAAGGAGGATGTATGTGCTGAAAAATGGAGTTGGGATGTTGTGTGGTTGACAGATCCTACTTGTATGCAAACACAGCAGGGCAGGTGGCAGTTGCTCCTCTGAGTTGTCGATGGCAGTTAATGCTTCTCCTACTCTAGCCCTTCTTTGGTAGACATTGCTGTAAACTTTGAAGCCTTGGGAGGTGCTGGGAAGAGGGAGATCTGGGGACACAAGCCTCAGTGTTTATCTCTTTCTTCTCCCTGTCTCCATTTTGGACTAGGGGTTTTGAGTCCATGTAAGGGTCATTAAGGCCAGGGGCGTTAGTAGCAAACTTCAGTTTCTCAGCTCATGGCTGATGAAAGAGAAACAACCCAGGTGTGTAGTCTATTGAGACAGTGGTTTTGGGGTTAAAGAAAGTGATCCTGATTTGTACCTCCTGTATTGTATCTCCCTCTGCCTCTTGTCTGATCTCTCAGATCGTGTACACTTGAGCTGAAGATGGTGGGCTTGATCAGGCCCATTATTGGGGGGGCAGGTGTGGTGCATGGACTTATAATTCCAGCTATTTCCTAGGCTTGAGTGGAGATCACCTGAGCTCAGGAGTTTGGGGCCAGTCTGGGCAACACAGCAAGACTCTCTCAAAACGGGCAGTGCCTACAGACAAAAGATGGGCAAATATTGTTTGCAGACTTAGAAAACAACACATTCATAAGCTTGATGTTCACTTTGTGGCATAATTCTGGATTAAAAGACATAGTTGATGATCAGCATTTCGAAAGGAATATGATTATAGGCACCAACGTGAGTTCCTCTCAATCAAATCCTATTTCCTTCTTGCCAAATATCTTGAAAGAGGTGAATTTGTAAACTGGAGACATTATATGTCTTGTATTAATTCATTCCACTTAAAGATCAGGAATATATAGTACTCGTACTCAACCAAGTTGGGTTTAATGCTCATTTCAGTGAAGGGGAAAGCACACCATTGGGAATCGTGGTGTCTCAGCAAGAGGGTGTCTGAGAGGATTTGGACTCAGGTTAAGTAATTTTGGGAAAGATTCAAGGAAGCTTGTGTTCCTCTGGATTGGATGCTGTCAGGGGAAACGGGGATCATTCTATGATGGGATATATTACCATACCTAAAAAGAGGGCAGATGAGTAAAGCTAGAGCTGTAATCGATAGGAAGCAGCAGTCACTCATTATGGGGAAAGGCAAATGTTTGCTGTTTTGTGATTCGCACATTGACCTTGTTTTGTGCTTAAAATTGTGAAGTGATCTTGGGTTTTTGGTTTTTTCTTTCCTTTTTTTTTTTTTTTTGTCTCACTTCATCCCAGTCATTGAATGACCTTGTTACATACTGGTGGGGTTTTTTGCCAGGCATGGTGGCCCATGCCTGTACAACTCAGGAGCCTGAGCCAGAAGGATCACCATGAGTTCAAGGCCAGCCTGGGCTACATAGTGAGACCCTGTCTCAAAACACAAAAAAATTAAAAGGTACTGGTGTGGTTTTTTTGTTTTTGTTTTTTGTCATTTTTATTGGTATTGGGGATCTAACTCAGGACCTGGCAGTTGCCAGTCAGGCACTGTGCTGCTGAGCTACATTCTGGCCCTGGTACTGGTATTTTTTGAGACTGGCTATTTGTGAGCACCTGGTCAGCCCTAACAACTCTGAACCCAGCTGACTGTGTGAGGCCAGTTCCCAGATGTCAGGAGCTGCTTTCCTCTCTCACCTCTAAGACACTGCAGATAAAGGAAAAAGATTATGGCTCAGTTAATAGAAAATTTAGTGGAATCAAACTGAACATTTGTATCTAGTGAATATTCAGTAGTGGTTTATGGAGAAATCTCTAGTGATTTGCCCAAGGGCAATATTTAATTTAAAAAGAAACCACCTTGGATAAAAACATTAAAATTCAGGCCGAGGATTTAGCTCAGTGGTTTCACTGCCTGCTGCACAAGCGCAAGGACCTGAGTTCAATCCCTGGTACAAAAAAAAAAAAAAAGATAAAAAAAATATATACTAAAATTCTACTTAAGGGCTGAGGAGGTAGCTCAGTGGTAGAGCACCTGGATTTGATCCACACCACTGCAAAATAAGTAAAGAAATATCAACACAACAGAAGGAAATACAAAATAATAGTCAAAGCATATCTGCCGCCTGCCTCACAAGTGCAAGGTCCCAAGTTTGATCCCTGGTACCAAAAAAAAATAGGCCCCTCTGCTGAAAATACGGCTTAGAGATAAAGCCTTGAGATTGTCTGGGTAACAGTGTGGATATCTACATTAGTAATAACCCCATAAGAACACCCTAGGACTTCCATTAATTACAAAAATTAAAATCTTGGGCTGGGGATTTAGCTCAGTGGCGCTATGCCTGCCTCGAAAGCACAAGGTCCTGGGTTTGATCCCCATTACCAAAAAGAAGAAAAAAAAATTAAAATCTTGGGTTGCGGGTGTCATCGCTCTGTGGTGGAACACTTCTCTGCCATTCATGAGGCCCTGGATTTGATCTCTATCACACACACATGAAAAAACATATCAGTTTATAAATATTAGAGTGTGCTTGGGCTGGGGATTTAGTTCAGTGTTTCTGGTGCCTGCCTCGAAAACACAAGGTCCTGAGTTCGATCCCTGGTACCAAAAAACCCACAAAAAACAAATAAATGTTAGAGTGTGCTATGTCCTAGGTGGGTGTGGTGATGGATTCCTGTAATCCCAGCACTCTGGGAGGCTGAGGCAGAAAGATTGCAATGAGCCCAGCCTAGGCAATATAGCAATTTAGTTGAGAACTTGTCTCAGAAAATGGCTGAGGATGTAGTTCAGTGCAAAGATCCTAGGTTCAACCCCCAGTAACAGAGAAAAGAGAATATGTGCTGGGTTTTATATGAGCTCCATATGGATATCTCAGCCTTAGAAGTGGTTTGTGAGCCGGGTATGGTGACACACACACACACACACACACCTGTAATCCCAGGAGGCTGGGGCAGGAGGATTGATGCTAGTTTGAGGCCAGCTTGGACTACATAGTGAGACTTTGTTTCAAAACAAAAATGGATTGTCGGGCAAGGAATTTAGCTCAGTGGCGCTGCACCTGCCTTGCGGTCCTGAGTTTGATCCCAGGTACAAAAAAAAAAAAAAGGGATTGTGAGTAAAGCGGTTCTACTTAGGTTCTGCTTAAGTGGAACCACACCTAAGTATTATGTGTTCTTCTAAATGTAATTTTTAAAGAGGGCCGTTGACAAACCAGAAGGGTATTTGAAAAAACCTAGCAAAAGAAAGCTGAAGGGAAATCCAGCAGATGTCTTCAAATGCTGCTGAATGGGAGAAGGTCCTGTGTTTCTGTACTGGAAATAACCAGAATTTTAGAACAATAGCTAACACTACCCAGGGCTTAATATAAGCCATGGAACTGTATGAGGCTTTTTTTTTTTTAATTTGCAACAATGGGGATTTAACCCAGAGCTTTGCACACATGTTAGCTGAGTGCTCTACCACTGAGCTACATCCCCAGCTCTTTTAAAATTTATTTATTCATTTATTGGTACTAGGACTCCATCTCAGGACCTTGTGCTAGTAAGGCAGGCAGCACCACTGAGCTAAGTCCCTGGCCTGAATTTTTATTTTGAAGCTAGGTCTGATTAAATTGTCCAGGCTGGCCACAAACATGTGATGCTCTATCTGAGCTTTCTGAATAGCTGGGATTACAGGCATGGCCCCATGCCTGGCCCATGTTAGGCATTTTACATGCAAAATTTTATATTCACTCAATGGGTACTATTATTGAATCCACTTTGCAGTGGGGAGAGCCGGCTTAAAAAGTTATTAGAATCACTTCTCAACCTTTTGGCTAAGATCAAGTGTAGTACTTCTTATCAGCATAGTATTCTCTATCCACATAACAAACGGACACTGGGAGAGATGGAACAGGAGCTTGCCCCATCTGCTCTGTGGACAGGTCTTGGTGTACTTCAAAAACAGTGTTCCGGGCCTGCCTTGCAAGTGCAAGGTCCTGAGTTCTATCCCTGGTACGAAAACAAACAACAACAACAAGAACAGTACTCCTCCTCAGAGGAAATAAATACTTACAAAGGCCATGAAAAGAAAAGTAAACTGAGCCGGGCATGGTGGCACACATTTGTAATCCCATCACTCTTGAAGGGTTACAAATTCAAGCCCAGCCTGGGCAAATTTAGCAAGACCCTCTTTCAAAATTAAGTAAATAAATAAGTAGGCTAAGAATGTAGCTCAGTACGGAGGCCCTGGGTTCAATCCCCAGTGCTACCAAAAACAACCAAACAAAACAAAAACATCTGCCAGTGGTTGGTGGTCGGTGAAATGGCACATACTTGTAATCCCAGCTACTCCAGAGGTTGACACAGGAGGATTGCCAGTTTGAGATAAGCAATTTAGCAAGATCCTGTCTCAGGGCTGGGGGTTTAGCTCAGTGGTTTCGCCACCTGCTGCACAAGCACAAGGACCCGAGTTCGATTCCTGGTACCAAAAAAAAAAGATCCTGTCTCAATATAAAAGGACTGGGGTATAGCTCAGTACAGGGCCCTGGGTTCAATCCCCAATATCTGTCTCATACACACACACAAATTACCAATGTTATCTGCCAAGAATTCTACAAGTAGAAAGGTATGGGGCCAGGAATCTATTCAGTCTGACTACAGATTTAGCATGAGAAAGTTCTGAAGATGGGCATATCACACCTATAATCCCAGCACTTTGGGAGGCTGAGACAGCAGGGTACAGAGTTCCAGTCCAGTCTGGGCTGCATAGTGTGTCTCAAAAAAAAAAAAGTGTTACAGAGCTATCCAACAATGAGAGCTTTTTTGCTGTACTGAGGATTGAACCCAGGGCCTTCACACTGAGCTCTATCCCTAGCCCTTTTTTTTTTTTTTTTTTTTGGTACAGGGATTGAACTCAGGACCTCATGTTTGCCAGGCAGGTGCTATGCTAAGTCCTTGGCCCTTTTTTTGCTTTTTGAAACAGGGTCTTGCTGTGTAGTCCAGGCTGGTCTTGAATTCACAATGTAGCTCAGGCTGGCTTGGAAATCAGAGCAATCCTCCTCCTCAGCCTCCCAGGTGCTGGGATTACAGGCATGCATTGCCACACCCAAACTTATATGTATGTGTGGTGTTTTTTAAAAAATATTTTAAAACAGTCTTGTTAAACCACTAAATTGCCCAAGCTGGGTTCAAATTTGCAATCCTGCCAGGGATTTAGCTCAGTGGCACTCTGCCTGCCTTGAAAGTGCGAGGTCCTGAGTTTGAATCCCCGTACTGAAAAAAAAGAAAAGAAATTTGCAATCCTCCTGCCTCAGCCTTTGAAATAGGTGGGATTGGGGCCAGGGATTTAGCTCAGTGGTTCCAATACCTGTCTTGAAAGCGCAAGGTCCCGCGTTTAATCCCTGGTACAAAAA